GCAGAGGGCTGCTTACCCAGTTTTAGCAGGCTGTCGAGGGCCGCATGGGTAGCCCTGCCCCTTGACAGGTGCCCCGCCCCCTGGGCACTGTCTTGGGACCAATGTCCCAATGTCTTTGGTTCCAAGACATTGGTTCCATGTCCCAGGGCCAGCACCGGTGAGGCCCAAAGCGGGGCACAGGCTGGCAGGGGCCTGTGGAGCTGGGCTGGGCTGTACCAGCAGGGAGATGGAGGAGGTGACCCAGCTCCATAGAGCCCCTGCTGCCTGGGACTCTGTGCTCCTGCCACCCTTTTCTGGGCCCCGCCGGCACTAGCCCCAGGACACCAGTCTGGGCCCCGTGTTCCCACTGGCTCCCTGCCCACTCACTCCCAATGCCCCCCAGCCCCGTGGTAGGGGCAGGGGGCAGCACACAGCCCTGACCCCCTGCTCGCCAGCAGGGAACAAGCTGGTGCGGAGGGGAAAAGCAGCCCCTCATCTGCCCCGTGGCTGGCGCTCCCTGCTGAAGGTGCTCACAGCCCGCAGGGCTGTCCAGAGCAGGCACGGGCAGCCCCATGTGAGCTGCGAGTGGCTGCAGCATAAGGTGCTGGCCACAAGGCGGGCACGAGGCTGCTTTCCCTCTCCCCTGCTGCTCAGCTTTTCCCCGGGCCACTTCCCTGCCCGGAGTCTTTCCCTGCCCTTCCCTCTTACCTGAGGTTCCAACACAGGGCAGCTACATGGTCCCAGGCCAGAAGCCCCAGGGGGGCAGGGCTGGGTGGACCCTGCTGTTGTGGGAGCCTGCTGGGCTTCCCCTGGGTCCTACTACCCTTGGCTCCTGTTATTTTTGACAGAAACCAAGGGCAGAGAAATACTAATTTCTAAAATTTTTAGGGGCCCTGCGCGCCAGATAAAATGGCCTTAGTGGCCAGATCCAGCCCGCGAGCTGTATTTTGCCCGCCCCTGCCCTACAAGATATGGTTGCAGCTGGGCTGTCTCCCACCTGCCTCTATGACACATCTGCCTTGGTGCCAGATCAGGACAATCGGCAGGATCTGGTCTCCTGACAGATGGGGCACTGCCCATCCAGCCTGGTGGGGAAAAAGGTTAAGTGCCACTAGTGTAAACCATTGTTTTACTTTCTCATTTAGACACTGAAGCAGTGCTTCAAATGCAAAGCTTAATCTTCTTCCTATTTTATAGATTGATAGAAATATGCTTTGCTATAATATCATCTTGGAATTAATGAAGTGGAAATACAGATGAGAAGAGTCTGGAGAAAACTTGAAGTACAGTTTCATCTAGCTGAGGTAAGGTAACATACAACTCCCTCCACTACTCAACCTTCAGAATCAGTGATTTAATTTTAAGAGTAACAAGTGCATGATTAAATAACCTTAATCTTTTTTCTTTCTTGTTAACATGAACCGTAAACCACTTCTTCACAGTTCCCTATTCCTTCACATTGTGCCATGGCTTTTTAATGTAATATTTGAAATCCAGTGCCTAAGGTGCTCTGGCCCTTCTTCAACTATGGAAAATAACAAAATGCCTGTATAATCACAACATAAAAAGATATGCATTAGAAAACACGCAATGTCTTGCCATATGATACTGAAAGTCCATTTGTGTCTGTGTTTTTATGATTTTCATTGAACCAACCACTGTAATATTGATGTCTTTTTCCCTGAGTAGGTATAATTAATTCTAGAGCAGCAGTTCCCAAACTCTGACAGGTTGTGTACCACTAATTTAAAATGATACAGCCTTAAGTACCACCAGCAGATTTTTCATGCACATAGGTAGCAAACTATGTATTAAAACAACAGAAAAACCGTTAGTAATCATAAAACATTGTTTTATCAGTTATGGTAGCTATATAAAACAGTTCAAATTAAAAAATTTGATTGCAATTAGTTGCTTGATTAAAAAAATGAGTTGCAATTAATTGTGATTTTAATCACACAGCTAAAAACTCTAAGTTATGCACAGAAAAATTCAGAATCATGCAGGTATTTTGTATGGTTGGAGTGCTGGGGGGGAATTTGTGAAGGTGTGGAGGGCTGTGGGTGTGTGTGGGGTTTGAAGGGCAGGGTGGGGCGGTGGGGTCACTGCATGCCCTGGCAGGATGTGCGTTACTGTGGGTCAGGAGCCAAGGGGCAGCAGCAGGGCTGGGGTCTGTAGCTTGTGAGTGGCAGACACAGACATGCTAATACAGATGGACACAGAGATGTTAACACAGGCACTGCACCCAGCAGGTAAGTTTGTGGAGGGGGTGGGAGGGCGGGGGGGGAGAGGGGCAGATAGAGGCCCACATGGTAAGGAAGGGAGTGGGACAGGGGCATGTTGGGGTGAATGGGGCCCCAGGGCCAAGGCAGGTCATGGGACAGAGCCACGGGAGGCTCATCCAGTGGCACTGGAGGGGGAGAGGCATGGGTCCCCGTCATTGCACACACCCCTGAGGGAGACATGGGGGGACATGTGGCCCCCAGATTTATGTGCAGGGCAGAGACGGGCTGCATGCTGGGCTCTGCGTGCTGCTGCCACTGCCTCTGGACCATGCAGGGCACCACATACCTTCCATGCCCTGTCTGCGCTGCTTCCCATGCCTGGCCAGTGGCTTTCTGCGTGGGTCTGGAGGCAGCGGTAGCAGGGCACACAGCCCAGCAGGTGGCCTGACTCCATCCCACACACAAATCTGGGGGGCACATGCCCCCATGCCTGCCCTGGGGTGTGCACAGCACTGGGGCCACCCACGCCCTTAGGAGGGCGTAGGCCACCCCGAGAGGGGCCATGTGCTTTTGAGCCAGCCCTGCCACAGGGACAGGGCAAACAAGCCCAAGGAGAGAAAACCCCTAGGGAGCAGCGGGCTGCCACTGCACTTTGCATCCTGCTGTTTTTGGAGTCGTGTGGGATGCTGTGTGCCTGCTGCTGCCAGGCAGGCAGAGCATGCAGTGCAGCCAGCATGTGGCAGGCACATGGTGAGGCTTCCAAGGCAGCAGGGTGCAGAGCCCAGTATGCAGCAGGCAGCCCACCTCCTCCCCATGCACATACTCCACATGCCTCCCCCAGGGTATGCCCAATGGCAGAGAACCCCCCACACACCCCTAGACAAGCCACCTGGGCTCGTACCGTCCCTTCACCCGCCCCAGGGCCCCATTCATCCCAGCCCCTGTCCCCACCCTTCCCCCCAACACACTTTACTGCTGGGTGCTACTCCACACTTGGTGCTGTGATCCTGGCTGTGTGCAGCAGGCTGTGTACAGCAGGCTGCTGCTGGGCTCTCGGGGTGTGCAGCCTCTCCCCTTCCCAAGCTTCTGCATACCACTCACAGGTCATCTGTGTACCACTGGTGGTAGACATACCAGTTTGGGAACCGCTGCTCTATGCGTTATTTTGTATTCATTTAATCTGAACCTGTTGCCTAGTTGAGAAGCTATCTAGACTTAGACAGTATACTTCACTAATCTGCATATTTGATAAGTACATAATTTGCTTAACTTCGTAAGAGCATCGGTTCTGGGTCCTTAACCATTTCTTACATTGTAAGAAACACTGGTATCTGTGTGTCAATTAGGTCCATGAACTGCTGCAGTGCATAAGATTCTTCAGTAACCTGAAAAGCCCAAATGTACTTTCTTTAACTGCATAATTTGTTAAAGATAATTTGTAGGGGGGGGAAGAAAATGGGAGCTGTCAATTTCAAGCTTCTTAAAACAGCCCTGAACCATTCTTATCAAAATCAAGGCTGCTATTTGTGTCATAAGCAGGAATCCTGGTTTTCCATTTGCCATGGAAAACAGTGGAATCAGCATTTTTTTCACAGTGTACCAATATGTGGCAGTGTCCTATCTAAAGTAGCGCCATTTCTGGTCTTAATTTTTGCTGTGGTTTTTGTCTCTTGGCCAATCAGTGGAGGTGGGGAGATGGGTTCCTGATTTGGCTGAGAGGCAAAAACTGAGGCAAAAATAAGAGAGCAGAAATGGTATGCCACCATATTTTCAGTAGGTCAGGGGAAAACACGGATTTTTGTGTTTTTTGAATGGAGGTTTTCTGCTTATTTCCCATGGAAAATTAGGATTCCTGGTCTTAAGGTACTCTGAGAAACCAGAACCTTTAAGGTGTTTAAAAACTTACGGCATGCTGTTTGCCTAGTTTAATTAACATTGTTTATATCAAGTATCCCTTAAGTGTGGATTAGGGTACGTGCATAGCTTTTATTTGTTTATTTTGTCTGGAGGCCACACGTTCACGTTGAGGTGCAATGATATATTGGTGCCATGTTGGATCAGTACTGATAAAAGGAAAATTAACATTGTCAGCTTTTTTTGGCTGGTGTAGCCAATTAATGTATTGATAAATACAATATTCCTTCTGGCCGGAGCACCTGGACACCATGTGCATGCATGCAGCTGCACATGGCCAGGAATGCAGCCCAGTATGCAGAGTAGTACCCTTCAGTTAAGTCTGAGGAAGGGAAGGGCCATGGGGGAGGGAAGGGGCGTGGGGGGTAGATTGAGGCCTCCACTGTGAGGGAGGGAGTGGGGCAGGAGCAGGGGTTGAGGGTGATGCCCAGCCAGGGCAGTGAAATGGGACCCCAGGGCTAGGAGTTAGGACAGAGCTGTGGGTGGCTTGTGTAGGGGAGGAAGGGGGGCTGGCTTCCCTCTGCTGCATGTACCCCCAGGGGAGGCATGAGAGGAGAATGTGCCCTCCTAGATTTGTGTATGGGGCGGATAGAAATTGCCTGCTGTGGGATCAGGTATGTCCACCTTACTGCCTTTTGCCCTGAGAGCCATGTGCTGGCCGCACGCCCCCTGCCTGCCCAGCAGCAGTGGGGCAGTGAGTTGTGCCTTCTGCTGCCAGGCAGGCTGCGGGTGTGGCATGGCCAGCGTGCAGCTCCTGGGGCAAAAGGCAGTAAGTTGGACAGCCCTGAGCCTAAAGTGGCCAGCTAGCATCTGCCCTTGCCCTACTCAGCTCTGCTCCGAATAGCTTCCCTGTGCTTAAAAGTGGTGACAGCAGCTCTTGAACTAATTTGACGAGCTTTAATTCAAGCACCACTGCTACCTTTTTTATGTACTGGGACACTGGGGGCAGATGCAGGCTGCCTGCTACAGGCTGCCCACCCTGGTGTCCCATTCATGGCTTTGGCTGAGTAGTACCTCCAGCCCCTGCCCCACTCCCTCCCTCCCTCCCTCTGTGTAGCCTAGCTATTATGTATTAGTCACCCTTCCCCTCACCTCTTTACCCTTCTCTCCCCATTGCTTCTCTTTCTCTCCTTCCCTACATCCTGTCCTGCTGCCTTCCAGTTCCTGATGGGGCACCACAGGGCTTCCTCTCCCCCCACCCCCCCCCAGTCTGTGCCTGGCCCCAGGCTAAATCATAACTAGTAAGCTAGAACCAGTTATCGCTGGGCTGATGGTTTAAACAAATAATTGTTTAACCATTCACATCCCTAGATGAGATGTGGGTTGTGTTGTAGGAAGGACCTACACGGTCAGATGGGTCACAAATTGGCTGGAGGGCCGCACCCAGAGAGTGGTGGTGGATGGGTCTTTTTTGATCTGGAGGGATGTGGGCACTGGGGTCCCCCAGGGCTCGGTCCTTGGGCCTGCACTTTTCAACATCTACAGGTCTGTATTTTCCAATTTGAATATCCTTTACTGAAGTCCTGAAAAGCTTATAAGGTTTTGACTCCACAGTCTAATTTGTGTTGGTAAACTTTGTGCCCATGGTGAATAAACTTGCGT